CTATTATTATGATTATTATAGATTATTATAGATTATTATAGATTATTATAGATTATTATAAATTAGTTTAATCGTTACAAATTTAACCTAATTGATTGATAGAATTAACAATGCGGGAATCACGACAGAGTGAGTAATAATGTTAAAAATATGTTTTCTATTCACTTGTAATTTCATTTGTGGCTATAATAAAATTCGATCAAATAATGAATATAATAAAATAGTGCCTTGTCATTTACTGAGGACGGAATTCAAGAGGAATTTGGAGTAAATCATGTCGGTCATTTTGTAAGTAAACAAATAATCAATTAAATTATTAAATTATTGAGATAAAAAATTCATAGTAACAATTTTTTTTTATATTGATAGCTTCTCACTAAACTATTATTGCCAAAAATTAAAGATTCACAACCGGCACGTATAGTAAATCTTGCCAGTCATGCTCATAGAATTGCTCCTGAGGGTGGAATTCAATTCGAGAAATTAAACGATCCAAATGCCACGGACTCATTGTCACGTTATGGTCAATCAAAACTTGCAAGTATTTTGTTCACTAACGAATTGAATAAACGATATCTTGAAGGAGAGCAAGTATATGCAAACTCTCTTCATCCAGGTATAATAAAATGTTTTCACAATTGACCTAAGCAACTATTTTAATTAAAAAATTAACAAGTATTGTTATTTATTTAGGTGTTGTAGATACAAGTTTGATAAGAGAAAACAAAATAACTTTGTCGGAAACTATTGCTTCTCATCCAATCTCACGTGATGATGGAGCTATTACTACCTTATATTGTGCTACAAGTCCAGAAATCGAAGAAAAAAATTATCGTGGAAAATATTTTGAACCATTTGGTAAAGAAAGTAGACGATCTTCATATGCTGAAGATGATGATTTGGCTAAAAAACTTTGGGAATTTACAGAGAACTTGATAAATGACAAATTTAAAAATTAATTGATTTATTCGTTATCGTTATGTAATTTTAATTTTTTGCTATAATAATAACTAAATAAAATATTATGTATTCTATTAAGAATTAGTGGATATCTAATAAATTTTGATTATAAAAAGATTAAAATCGATTACT